AGTGGATGTATCTGAATTTGAAGATGGACTACAACACCGGCAACTGACCTGTAGATGTGTCATTCCACTGGATGATCCCGAGTATGATGCATCTGACTCCACAATCCCCTTCCAGAACTTCTTATGACCCCCTTAAAATGCCACTTGAGCTATTGCTTATGGGCTGTGCAGCTACAGTAGTTGCAGTAACTCTGAACTGGACAAAGTATTCTCCTTTGCATTCGGCATATCAGGTTTTAACTTGTTCTTTGTGGACTGTCCAACTGAAAAGGATCTATCCTCAGCTGAAACACTTGGTGGATTGTCATCCAGTGCCAATCGAGTTGCCTGACCTTCATGACTCCTCTGCTTCCACATTGTCAATACATTATTCATTTTTTTCTTGTTAGCCAGAATACTGCTCTTTGAAGCAAGCTTTATTTCTTTTGCCTTCTCCTTCTCCTTTTTCTCTGCAGCAATAGCTGCTGCTGCAGCAGCCTGAACTGCATCAGGTAAGGAGGCTGCCTTCTCAACTGATGTTACAGTAGCAGCTGGTGCAGAAATCACTACTTTCTTATTATTGGAAGCATCTGTTTTAGAAGGTTCATTTTGCTGGACAGAAGCTTTCTTATCATTCTGCTCAGTGCAAGGAATATACTGCTGTGATTGATGGTCATATGAATACCAAATCCCACTGTTACCATCATAATAAAGACCTGAATATTGCCAGAACTTTGTCATTTGAACAATTAATCATAAGGTAAGATCTGATAAAATACCTAGATCCACAAAGTCAAGCCTACATATAATTGTTCTTGTATGAATCCCCTTCTTTTAATTTCTTACCCATCATCTCATTTGTCAAATTATGCGTTCACTAATTCCTTTGCCAAAGAGATTATTTGAACCAGAACAATACTCATGATTTCCAGCACATAGACATGAGTTTAGCTCTAGATATAGGTTGAAAAATTAGGTTAGATTCTTTGACATTTTGGTGGGGGTTTGTCCAAGTAATTTCTATTTCTACTAATTTGTTGGTCTTGAGAGGAAAAAAGAGCATTATGGGTCTTGTCGTAGGGGCAAAAGCCAGAGTTTCCAAAACTCGACCTCAACCACATAAAATTCCTTGGGTCAGAATGGCCTTCTTCACTTCTCTATGGGCTAAGACTCAAGGTTTCTTCTAATGGATTTCTTTGTCTACTTCACAAAATGATAGGAAAGTTCTCTTGTATTGAGGAATCTTCCTTGTCTCTTTGTATTTCATGCTTTTCTATGCAGACATCTTACGCTCCTTTATACTAAATTTCTCTTTCATTCTAATAATAATATTCTTGTAAAAATATATGTATTTTTTGCAAACTTCACCATCAACGTCCCAAATGTCAAAAGAGAAAACCATATGATTATGAGGCAAGTGCCAAGTTACCAAACACATTTTCCAAATACCTGTATTGCCGTCGTAATAAAATCCAGAAGCGGCATCATAGTAATAACCGGATGCTTCATCCCACACAAAACCAGACTGTGGGGCAGAACCATCTTTCTGAACTGACACTTGTGCACCACCTTGCTCTTGTCCTCCAGTGGACTGTTTGTCATCGGGATTATATTCTTTTGGAGCCCATCCAACAGCATCATACTGAGGGCAAATTAAAGGCATAAGGTTCTGATTAGCATTTAACACCAATTCATTCTTGGGATGAAAAATTCCAATAGAGATTGATAGAGAATCATTAGAATTTGCAGAAGCTAAAAGACAGAAATACCTTCCTTCAGCAATTCAGTGAGTATTATAAGAAGGAAAAAGAATAAGAACTACTAAGGGCTCTTTTAGAAGCCTTGTTAGGATATTTTCCTCTCCTTTCGACAAGTTAAATATTATTTGTTCTAAACCTAGATTTTGTTCAAGAATCATCCTCTCCATGATGAAGAAGGATAAGGAAAACTTCAAGTATTTTGACTGAATCTACTCTGTAAATCCTTACTAAACATGTACGGAACCCTTGGTGCCTTGAGCGACAATTCTTTTTGTCTTCCAAAAAATTCCTTCCATGGTTCATGTGTCATTTAGTATCTTCAATGTACTTAGCTTCCTTAGGTAGATTTTAAGAATTACTAGGAATTTGAAATATTAACTTTTTATGACTGCAGTATTTCCTTATCATTCAGAATAAGTGCCCATAAAATGCCACTAAATATTAACAGTAGAGAATAGAGAAGAGGATAGATGATAATGAACTAAGAAGTTCTTGTGTTTCAGATTTTATTTTCTATCACCTCCTTTGCTATATATTCTAGTTATTTTTCATTTATCCTACCTCGTTCTGTTCATTTCTCTCTTCTATTTCATCATCTCTGAATCCATTTTCCTCCATTCTTTCCTATTCTACTATTTCCCCACGTCTATCCCTCTACTTTCTAAAATTTTTTCAGAATACTTTCCCATATCAGTTGGTATCAAAGCCTAACTTCTGTGCTCACCTTCCTTGCCAAAACTGTTTCCTTAAAAAACCAAAAAAAAAAAAAGAATATCATATCCTTCAAATGCGGAAAAAAAGGTCTGAAAAAGATAAAATCAAGAAAGGACAAAAGATCCACACATGCCAAGACCATCTGCTACACTCGACTACCGGCCACTGCTATGAGGTGGCTTAAAACTGCCACTGCCATCACGTTTTGAGACCCTCGGCCAACGTTCCCACCAAGTTTCAACCATTAATTTCTCAAGAAAACACAATACTCGATGCCAAACATGAACCATCACTGCCTTGCTAGACCTCCGAATACAACCACCACCAATTCTAGCAGTGACCAGAGCCCAGCGCATGAACCTCATATCATTGACCTGCAAGTGGGACTATTCTGTTTGACCAATTTTCTCATATTTGACCAGACTAGTTAGTTGTTTTTTTATTGAAATATTACCAGACTAGTTAGTAGAAACCAATTCAAGCCCTTCATGACTGACTGTCACCATTCATATGGTTTTCTAGGATGTTCTTGTTTTTTGAGGTCAGTTTGGCGATATTTGCATTCTATATTCATTTTTAGAGACATTATGTTTACAGTCGATATCTTTGGCATAGAATCCAATGAACTTTTGATTACAATTTATAATTTATTACTGAATTACATATGATTTTCTGTAACATATTTGTGGTCCTTATGGATGCACAGAGGGTATAGAGATACTACCATGATTAGCTCGGATCAATAACGTCTTAAGGATGTGATATGTGCTAATCATTCTCTAAATGGTTGCTGTCTTATGTTAATTGTTGTTGGAGAAGGATTGATACACATTCAACCTATATGCAGAAGATGGAAGAATTATTAGGGTACTCTGCAAGAATACAAGAAACGGTTAAAATCTTCAGTTAGGGCTTCTCCTGGCTTAGAAGAGTCCAAGCTGTAAGGTTTTCCAAAGGCAACCCCACAGGAAATATTGCAAACGTTGGATTCATTCAAGTTGTCTTCGAAAGATCCTTATTTATCTTATTTGATTGTAGATAAGATCCTTATTACTTGTAACTAGTGCTAATATAAAGGGGGCCATTAACTATCAACAATAGAAATGATGAATTATCAATGCTAGGTTCTAATTCCTGTTATTCTCTTTGTTCTTTCCTCTAGTAATAGTTTTGTCTAGTCTATTCGTTCTGTCTATTTCTCCCTTGTAATTCTTCACCTTTGATACTTAATTTGCTCTGGTCTATGATTTACACCTATTTGTGTTCTGCCCTCTATCTCTCTAATATACAAACTATCCCTGAACAAGTTGGTTTCAAACTCTACTTGTCCTGACATCTTAGGCATCAATTTAGGGACACATAAAACAAAAAGAGAAGTTACCATGAATAAAATTGAGATTTTACCGACTAACATACCTGCTGAGAAAATGCTGCTGCCTCAATTGCAGCAGCCGCAAGGCTGCTGGAGTGTGAAGATCCCGATGTCCCTGATCCAGGACCAAGAATGCTCTTTGCATATGCCACTCTTAAGATC